AAACCACACGTATCTATTCCTTCAACATCAACAAAGATCTTCCCACCAAGGCTCCCTCCAATATGTGGGCTTGATTGAGTTTAGTGTTGATCAAAATCAGGAGAAATTACACGAATCGCCAAATCATCAGCGCCGAGCTCACAGGACTGTTTCAGGTGGAGCGGGGTCAGGCCCGGCAATGGCCTGAAGGAGGGTCTGGAAGGTGATTCCAAGTCAGAGCCCAGGTCCCTCCCGCTGCAGGCCAGGACAGGGGCGGTCTCCTCGGCCGGGGCTGGCCGCCCGGGGAGGCTGCCTCCGGAACACTGAGTAGGTTCCCCTCGGGCAAGAGAAGAGCGGAGTGGGGAGGGCGGGCGCCTCCGCCAGGGGACCGGCCTGGGCTCGGCGGGGACTGGCCGACCGGCCGTGGGAACCCTCATCTCACACGTCAAACCTGCCCAAGAGGCCGGGGCACGCTGCAGGAGGCCCTCCTCACGGGCACAGGGAGAAGGCCTGCAGGGCCCGCGCCTGAGCGCGGCGGAGAGGACCGCGCACGCGACACGTGACAACTGCGCGCGAGTAGAAGCGCGGCCTGAAGGTGCGGAGGAGAGTGCGTGCCGCCAGCGCCACCCCGTGGGCGGAAGGCAGGTTGCCCGGACCTGGGGGGAGAGGGCGGGGCACGGCCACCAGGGGGCGCGCGCACCACCGCGCACACACCACCGAGCACACACACTGCTCTGCACACACATGAAACACACCTCTCTGCACACAGAACACATACCAAACACTCCACTGCACACAGTACACACACTGCTCTACACACACACACCACTCCACACACACCAATGTACACACACCAATGTGCACACACACCACTCTACACACCACGGCACACACTACCCACACCACTCTGCACACACACGACACACACCACACACACCACTGCACACATACCACTCTATACACACACACCAATACACACACACCACTCTCCACACACTCACCAATGCACACACACCAATGCATGCACATACACCAATGCCCACACACACACCACTCTGCACACACACCACGGCACACACTACACACCACTCTGCACACACACGACACACACCACTGCACACACACCACTCTGCACATACGCAACACACACCACTGCACACTACACACCACTGCACACACACACACCACTCTGCACATACGCAACACACCACACACACATACACATACACACTACGCACATGCACGTATACATATTGCACACCAGCATACACACACCACACAAATATGCCACACATGTACACATACCCACACACACACACCACATACGTTACACATCACATAGAATAAAGGGAAAAACCATCCCCAGAGGTTTCTGGAAATGGAGAGCAGGCACAGGTGGGAACCAGGTGAGGAGCCCCCATGTGGCTCCTCGGCTAAGGCTGGCCCGGGGAGGCCGGAGGCTAAGAGCACTCCTGTCCTGGCACAGAGTAGGGTGTGACCAAGGCAAGCCCACTGCCCGGAGCCCCCAGGGTGGGGAGCAGCGTGGCGTGCCCAGGTGGGCGCCCCACTCCCGAAGCCCAGGAAGTGAGGGTGTGGGGCTCCCGCAGATGGTGTCGTGAGATGGGGGCCTTCCAGTCCCCCCGGGGGTCCCAGTCACCCCTGAGGCCTTAGAAGGAAAAGGGAGGTATTGTAGGGGGAGGGGAAGGAGACGCCCAGCGGAGGTTGGAGCTGAAGGCTGGCTGGCCTCCTGGTGGAGAGGCCCAGAGCCAAGGGACTTGAGGAGCGTGGGATGCAGAGCCGGCCCAGAACGTTGGCATTGGGCTGTGAGCCCCAGAACGACTCCAGTCTGCGGTGGCTGCACTTGGTGCGTACACAGAAGACCACAGGTGCACTCGGGCAGTGAAGGCTCCCAGCAATCCAACCTGGGCACTTTCCATAAAACACAGATGACCACAGAACTCAGCAGTCCTGTTCTTAGTCACCCAGGAAATAAAATGTCCATCCACATGAAGCTGTGTGTGTGGCAGAACTGCAGAGGGTCCCCACTGGCTCCGCCCGGCCGAGCAGGGTCAGCACCTGTGACCTGGCTGACTGACAGGTGTACCCCAGCTCTGATTTGCACGATTCTTGCAGGAATGGGGTGCTCCATCTTTCCAAGCACTTCCCGACAACTTGGAGCTGCCTGCTCTTCATGTCTGCAGCCTCATTTCCCGGGACTTGGTGGACTTTCCCCAGATGCAGGGGCTCTGAACAGCCCGGGGAACTCCACCTGTGGGCTGCAGAGTTCCTGAGGTGACTGCCTTCCCTCTGATTGCCTGCGGTGGCAGTCACCTTCAAACAACGGCCTGTGGGCCAACAGCTCCTGATTCTGTGCCCTGGCTCGGCCGCCGGCTGGAGCTGTGTCCACAGCATAGAGCAGCTGCAGCCCAGGCGCCACTGCCCGCCACTGTCAGGACCACTGGCCTAAGCAGGCTCTGCCTTGGGCCACTGGGTCGATGGCCTGTCCCATAGCCAACTACTGCCATTAAGGCCCAGCATCTCCTCTGCGTGTCCTCATGGAAGTTCCAACTGCCCTCGCCTCCAGCTGTCACACCCAGGTAAGGGACCCAAGGACACTGCTGTGCACCTGGCTTTTGTCACTGGGGGTGACTGTCTCGGAGGCCCTTCCACCACACAGGGGAGAAGCCGCATGCGGTAGCACTGTGCCACCACGTGCGTGTACAGAAGGTGATGTGACCCGCCCTCTCCCAGACACCTGGGTCACACCTAGGTCACTTTCACTGTCACAGTAATCACCTTGGGCATGTGCCCTGTCCTAGATGTGCAGCCCTGGTAGGATAAACGCAGGGTGCCGTCTGCGAGTCAGAGTCAGAGCATTTGTGGGTCTGGTAATGTCGCCCGACTACGCTCCCCAGGGGCTGGGCACGGGCCTCTCACTGCCGTGTCCAGTTCCTGCCAACAGCAGCTTGCTGCCCGGCTTCTGGACTTCTGACAATCTGGTGGGTGAAGAGAGGAGCCTCGGGGATTTGAGTCTGTCTCCCTCAAGTTCAAGCATCGTCCGTCTGTTCACAGGCCTTGTGCACTTTTTGTTGAGTTCTGTTTCTCTTTTTAAACCAGAATACTGTTGTTTTCTACTCTCGAGGCGTCTTTGTGTAGTAAGAACAGCTCTGTGGCGTGAGCTCCACGTCTTCCCATGCTCATGTGCCTCTGGCCGCCCCTCCATCTTCCCCGTCCTTCCTTCTCTGCCGTGCGTCTTTGATCATGCAGACATGTCTGCATTCTAGACAGTCAATACCCATCTCTCCTCTGACCTGGGTGAAGGCCCCTCATGTCGGGGTTACTGTGGCAGACGAGGCTGCCACACCAAGCCCCCTCCAACCCCAGTGACCCCTCAGGCCAGCCTGGCTTTGCGGGTGTGCCCAGCCTTGTCCAGGATGCACCTGACCAGGAGCAGCCCAGGGCAGGACCAGGTGAGCACTCCTGCCTACCACGGCTCCTCTCCCAGGCATCGGCCCCAAGCTCCGCGTCACCAGGCAGGTGTGGTCGGCTGGAAGGCAGCCCGAGTGAGGCCGCCCTGGCCGTCCTGCTTCCGCTGCTTCACTATTGTAAGCCGTCCACTCCCTGACACACGTCAGCTTCCAGAGAGACTAAAGGCATCACTGTGAAGAAATCCTCCTGTGTCTCCCTGTCCAGCCTTGGTTTTTAAGTCTGGTGCGTTTTGGGAGGACCTCCTCTGTACACCAGTTACGGACCTAACTTTCTTTTTCTCAGTGGCTGCCAACTGCTTCACACCTCTTGTTTTAAAACAGAACTCCTTCCTTACACAGCAAACCCGGACCTCGCGTCCACCTCTGGCCCTGCTGCTTCACGACTGCTGGTGCCACCAGCTCTGCATGGCTAACTCGGGCCTCCCGGTCCGTCGCCTCGTGTGAAAGGAGAGTGTGCCCTGGCTGCACTGTTTCACTAAAAAGCCTCTGTCACGTGAAAGTCAGAGTCTAGTCTAGTCCCAGCAGAGCTTGCTGGCTTCCCAGCCAGCGCACAGGAGCCAGGCAGAGGCTCACAAGTGCTAAGCAGAGCTGGTATGGACGGTCCTTAAAGCCTGACACATTGTCCGACACCTCTACTTAAAGCCGTGGAGGTATTAAATAAAATTTTTTAAAAGACCTCTCTTAAGCTCGGTGTGGTGGTGCACACCTGTAATCCTAGCAGCTCGGGAGGCTGAGGCAGGAGGATCATGGGTTCAAAGCCAGCCTCAGCAAAAGCAAGACTGCTAAGCGGCTCAGTGAGACCCTGTCTCTAAATAAAATATAAAATAGGGCTGAGGAGTGGCTCAGTGGAGTGTCCCTGAGTTCAATCCCCAGTACCAAAAAAAAAAAAAAGACTCTTAAACACACCATCTTTCACACGAGGGAAGGGTAACAGTACAGCTCTGTATCAGACCCGCCCAGGGAGCTGGTGGGGCAAACCCAGCATCCCACGTGTCCTTCACATACCTGCTCCATCCTCCTGGCTCTCCTGGAGCCCTGAAGGCGGGGAGCGGAACACCCTTACACTTTCCAGCTTTAGAGGGAGACTGACCGACTGTGGGTTTTATTTAAAAATGCCTCCTTAATGGAATCACTTTGCTTTAAAGAAACAATCCGTAAGAGCTTAAGTGCAAAAAGAAAAATGTCACCAGCTCAAGTTTGTGTGCAGAAAGCTGAAAGGTGAACAGTGGGAGACGTAAACTCCTTTCTGAAACGTGCTGTTTATTTTGATCTCAGAGGGGGTACTTGGTAACAGGGAAAACCAGTTCATGGAGACACAGGGAGAGCCAGGCCCTGTGTTTTTACGTCAGGTTTTTCAATCAGCCTTTCTCCTGGGCAAGTGGCACAGAGCCCTCAAACTAAGGCCCAGGGAGACCCGGGGCACACGGGCCCCACGCTGGATCCACTGCCAGCCAGCGCCAAGCCGGGTTCTCAGCCTGGAAAAGGACGTCTTTGTCCAACAGACTCAGGAGCTTTCTAAACACACCACAGGACTCAGGAAGGACATCTTTATTTGCCGTTATCTTTGGAATACAACCACCAGGCTCTGCAGGTGTGACTTAGTACATGTACTGGATTAGCAATGCTTCTAGGGTTCACAAGGTCAAGGCCAAGGTTCTGATGAAGGTAATCTGGTTATCAACTGAGTATAAAGGAAGCTATAAAATGGCTCAAAGCAATGTGGCCTCTTAGAGGAAGATCCCAGCGACTCAGACGCTCAAGGAAGGACCCCGGAGACTCGCAGGCACTGCAGAGAGACGAGGGAGGACCAGCCGGAAGCCCCACGTGCCTTCTGTGCTCTGGCCAGGGACTCCAACCGCAGGGTCAAGGCGGGCACTGGGCACGGGGTCGGCTGGCCAGGCTCAAGCAGGCAGAGGCGGGTGGGCGGCGTCTCCCCAGGGGCGGTCAGTCGTCTTCCCCTCCACAGAGCAGCAGCAGGGCCTTCTTATAGTCCCCAGAAGTGTCGCCCTGAAACCCCAACGACCTCGTTAACCACCCGACTCAGAGGACGCCCAGGAAAGGGTACCAGGGAGCATCTGGCAGCAGCTTTATTCCTATGACTGCTCAGGGTGACGTGTGACTCGCACATGGGGAATGTTGACGGAGTTTCCTACCCCCTAACCCTGTGGGACTTTCTGACCTTACACCTTAAAGGCACAGTTTCCAAAGACAAGAACATGTTCTTCTCTCTAGCAACACAGGGAACAGGGAACCTTGCCCAACTACATTGACGCCAAGCTTCCCAGAGGAGCCTGGTCTGCAGCCCTCACGCTGGCTGGAGGGCCCAACACCAAGGCAGCCGGGATGTGAGTACCAACAGTACCAACGGGTGGAGCTGCAGAACCTGGGCAAGCTCCCGGGCTCCTGGCACAGCCTGCCGACACACGTTAGCCAAAGCTTTCTGAAATTCTGCTGTCCCCAAGAGGGAAGCGGCCAGGGAGCCGAAAAGGGAGGAATCTCACTAGAGGACACCCAGCGCCTTTCTTTCAACAGAAGGATATGTAAACCGGGCTGCTGGCTCACCCCAGGCGCACTCGGGCTGGTTCTCTCCAGGCTGAACTTGCTCAGTCACCTGTCACCACCACCTAATCACACTCTGAGGTTACAGCAGTCTGTGAGGGCACCCCACTCCCAGGTGGCCCCTGGGACCACCCCACCTGGGGAACACTGCAGAGCTCCCGGCTCTGGCCTGCCACGGGATTCTGAGCTGCACGCGGCCCCTGTCCTGCCTGTCTGGCACAGGATGTGCTGGTCTGTCCCGGACCTGAAACCAGATCCAAAGAGCAGTTCTAGTACCTTGATCATGGAATACAGTGAGGTGGCAAAATTCTTCCGGAACTCCTTCCGAATGTTGGACAGATCGATCTCACTCCTGGACACCACGACTCTGATGAGGGTGTGGTCATCTGTCCCGGCTCCCTTTGAAAAATAAAAAGGGCAAAAGCAGCTCTGAGCCCGAGCTGGGCACGTGGACAAAGTCAACAGTTTGGTAGAACTGGGCTCCGTGTTTTAGGGGAAAACTCCTAACGCCTGTCGTCTGAGACATAATCAGAGCTGGAGGACGATAAGAAAGAGGGTGGCACCGGTCAGAAGACGCAGCGTCCACTCACCTTCATGGCGTAGTAGAGGGTCTCTGCAAGGTAGGCAGGTATGCTTCGAATCGACTTCACTGGAAAACAAGCCAAGTGACGTCAGGTGCTCCCGGACTGCAACCACCCGGGCACACACTGTGCTCCCAGAGCAGCACGGACGCAGCACAGCCGGGCCCTCCTCCCTCCCCACAGGCCTTCAGAGACACGGGAACGGCACAGGAACGGGCCAGCTTTCCATGCCCCCCTGAGCACTGCTAGACAGAGCAGCCCGGGCCGCTGCCACGCCAGAACCTTCATCACCAAGACTACACAAACTGCTCAGACGTGTCCTTCCCAAGACACTCGGGCGAACGGCGCAGGGCTACTTCTCCCCTCTTTGGAGCCTTGGCCTCTCTTCCTGTATCTGCCTAGCACACCGGCAGCATGCGAGTTACCCGGTTCTAGGAACACGCCACGGCTGACTAGGGAGCCGCTCGGCCCAGAGCCCACTGTGGCTCTGGAGACCTGGAAACTCTAGAAATGGTCAACAGTGACCGTCCTTCAACTGGGAGTTTTGTGAACTCTCCCTTTCCCAATGCCTCTGAAAGATAGCCACTAGTAGCCATAAGTGAAAACTGTACGTGAGCTCTAATAGTGAAGGAGCCGTCCAAGTTCTCACGAACTGGACATTCAGAGGAAACTCAGTGCTCACGCAGGCCACCTCTTCTCGAGAACAGGACGGCCTGACCTCAACCCTGAGGCTTGGCACCAACAGCAGACAGAGGCTCTCTGCAAACCTGTGTGGAACCAGGACCCTGGGAACCACTCCCAAGCTGGGCCCCCCCTGGCCTGGAGGGACGCGATACCTCAGTCAACTGCACAAAGTCTGCACCTCAATTTTCCAGATTGTACTGAACATGTGGTTGAAATAAAACTCTAATTTTTTTAATATGAAAACCACATCCTCTATTACATTCTGGGTCTCTCTTCTAACAGATGGTGATGTCTCAGTCTGCCTCGGAGCTGTGAGCACTGTACTGAGAGAACTCTAAAATGCCACAGGTACCAGCCTCTGAGATGGTGTCCCCAGCCCTCCAGGTTCCCAGGGAACAGTGAGGTCCCCATGTGGCTTCAAACAACTCCTAACAATTTCCTCTGGATCCTGGAGCACCGGCGAGCAGGCCAGCGTCACATGAGTGGGAGACGGGACTCTGCCCTCCGGGTGCCGTGCCAGGCTCCTCTTTCCATGAACCATGCCCCACACCTTCAGATTCAGCCTCAAGCGAGCAGAACCCGTTAGCTGCTCTCGCCATGGACACTACACACTGTGAGGTCACCTACCAACGGCAAGCAGCAGCTGCTCCAGGTGTCCAGAAGTCTCCCGGTCGATGGTCTCCTCAATCTGGAACCCCGATATGGTCATGTACTTGTCAAACACTAGGAAAAACGAAAGGAGTTTTGACTCACACAACCGTGGATCCTTCCAGCAATCAGAGTTCTCGCTGCGCGGCTCTTCTCCTACCCAGGGCCTTGTCTCTGAGGGAGCCTGTGCTCGGGCTCAGGTGCCAAGCCAGCAGCGACAGTTCACGGCGCTCTCTGCCCACTGACCTCCCAGCCCCCTGCCAGTCCGGACCAGAGGGACCTCAAGGGGAGTCTGCTGTGGGGACTCTGAGATGTCCTCCTCTTCCTTACGAAAAGTGAAGGAAATGACTGGTTTACCCCTTTCTTTTCTTCTCGCTGTGAAAATGGTTAGTTCAGAGCTACAGCAACTGTCTCGTGACGACGAGGCAGATGGCATGAGAAGGAAACCAAGACACCGAGGACAGCGGGGTAGGAAACCAGGACGATCCCAGGTCCTGCCAAGCCCGCCTCAGAATCCACCTGCAGAACTGAAGCCACCATGTGGGCTCCGTCACCTGCTCCTGAACACATTCTCAGCTGAGAGCATAAGTCCAGGTGACAACCCAGAAGGGGGGTCTCAGATCCACCATCCTGGAGGAAACACCCGAGTGAGCCGCCACTCATGGTCTGTGACTGAGGGACGCCCCAGAGCCCGACCCTCACCACCCTCCGGAGACGGGGGCTTAAGCTCCTGGTTCCGTAAGTCACAGCAGCGGTAAAGGGAGTCAGCAGACCTGCCCAGGTGGCACAGGGTGCCTCAGAGGCCAGGGCAAGGCCACAGGGCAGCGTGTCCGCCACCCAGCCTCTTTCACTCACCCCTTCTCAAGTGCGACACACTCCGTGTTCCGAAGATGGTAATGAACTTCTCCTCGTCGGTGCCCCACTTGAGCTCTCCGGCCTGAAACAGCGCCTGCAAGCATTCCCGCCTCCGTCAGGAAGGCCCTCTGCGACCCCCAGGCCCTGAGCCACCGTGCAGCTTCCTGCAGACCACACGTGCTTGCCGCACGTCTGGCCCTGTCCATTCCTGCCGTCTCCAACTCTCAACTCGGCCTCCGGGGTTTGGAGCGCCACTGGGGCTCGCCAGGATTCACAGGTCAGGTCGAGGTGACAAAGCACAGCACCAGGCAAGACTAGGTCTGCCCAGAATGCCTTCTGTGACTTCCAATTTTGGGAGGGAGGAAATTTCTGATCATCTCACTGCGGTCCATCCACTTACGTTTGGGAAATCCTAAGCAGGAGTTCCAGGATCTGGAGGATCCAGGATCTGCTCCTGTCTGACTTGGGCTACGCTGTTCAACAGGCAGCCACCGGGCTTTCTCTTTGCCACTGAGTTACCAGGCTGGCCGAGGGAGACCCCTGCTCCCCTGGGAGCACCACGCCGTAGCCGTTCTCGGGAGGTCCACCCACGGCTGGCTCAGCGGGTCTCCTGCAGCCATCTGAGAAGACCTGGGCCTGCTTCTCAGGTCACCACTGGAAACCTTCCAGAGTGCCCACTCCTGGAGCGGGAACAGGAGACTCAGCCCGCCCCCCACCCACCCACAAGGAATTAACGCTGGGAAAGCAAGAAGGCGCCTCAGCCCTGAACAAAGCCCCCCCAGGGGAGTGCGACTCGGAGCTCAGCTGGACGGTGGCTCAGCCCTGCAGATGGCGGAGGAGACGAGGAGGGGTCCGGCTGGGAACACTGGACTGCTGTGCAGAGCGACAAGGCCAGCTGGGCTGCCCTGCTCTTGAGTGGGGGTGAGGACGGCCCTGGCTACGTGGACGGCTCACGCACGGCTCACTTCCCTGCTGAGGGCCCACTGAGTGCTGTGAGCTGGGCAGCTCTGCGGCCCCTGAAGGGCAGGGGGGCGCTTCAGCGTGAGGGGCAGTGCAGTGGCAGAAGGCCTGCGGTGCAGTGGGCCTTCCTGTGCGGGCCACCTGACCCCTGGAGGTGACTTGGGGCTACCTGCAAAGTGCCCGCGCTGAGGGCTCAGCAGGAGAAGCAGGCCGAGGCGCAGGGAGAGCCCCGGGAGAGCCGGGGCAGGGGCGCGGACGTCCACATTAGGAACGGGCTCTACCTGGGGACAGCGGACCCAGGAGGGTCCTCGGAGCTTACGCAGGAACAGGAAGCAGGCCTGCGTCTGGCAAGGCGGGTGGGTGAGGGTCAACAGGCAGCAAACCGCCCTCGGCTCCTCCCCGCAGCCAGGCAGAGAGGGCAGCACTCACACCCCCAACACAGCTGCCCAAGAGACGGGTGCTCTCCTCACTGCACCAGCACGCCAGGCCACAGGCCAGCGGGCCACTGTGCAAGCCCTGGAGAGGGCCCACGGCGCTGCCCGCTTCCCTGAGGACCAAGACTGCCACAGGAGGGGCAGGGGGACGCCAGGCGACTCGGGAACCCAAGCAGCCCCTCGTTCCCCACCCCCGGGCCTCGGCTCCAGGTGCAGACTTCCTGACACACAGCTCCTGCACCTCAACACCTCGTAAACCACACGGAGACCACACAGGGTCTGAGAGTCTGCCAATGTGACATTTGGGAGCCACTAACACTTGGCTGACAGAAGAGAAGTACCGGCCAGGCCCGGCAGTGACATCTGCAGCCCAGCCACAGGAGCCCGAGGCCAGAGGGCTGCAAGTTCCAGGCCAGCTGGGCAACTGGGCGGGGCCCCGTCTCAATAAACAAGGGGTCTTGGGGTGCAGCTCAGCAGAGTGCTTGCCTAGCAAGTGTGCGGCCCCAGCACCACAGAAAAACAAAACGGAGGGACGACATTGTTTAGAATTCTTCCAAAGGACAGGCAGGAGCACTGCAGATGCTAGGTAACCCGCCACCACTCATGGGACAGGACGACACACACCTTCAGACGCGATCCTTCCTTCTTACCCCTTCCTAAGAGACCTACTGCCCCGTTACCAGTGGGGTCAATAACACTGGGTGGTTGCCGTTGTTTTTTTGCAAAATTCTTTGTTTTTTGAATGTTTCATAACAACAAAAAAGGAATGATATGTCTAGGTGGAACTCACTGTACTATTTCACTTCATGTTTGGATAAAATATTTTATTAGCCAGACCAGAATGAGAGAACTCTGCCAAGGTGAGTCTTGTGATCTGTCATGGACACCTGAACTGGATTGTCCTAGAGACCTCACAACACACCTGGTGACGCTCCCTTACCACATATTCCTTCCATGCACAGATGGGGGCAAAGTCGCCACACAGCTGGCCTCACTCACCTGAGCGTCTTGTTCAACTTGAGCTTCGTCGATTCCAGCATCAGGGTCTCTGTTCGCCTATAAGACAGTACGTCCCATGACTGAATCACTCCAAAGGAAAAATGTCCCACCTGGTGGTTATGCACGTAGAGCTCTTTCTCTTAGGAATAAATGGCTTTTCAAGGTCACCTCAATCCTACAATCTATCACACAGAACTGTCCAAATCCAACCTGACCCTCCTGACCCTCCTGTGAAAGCGGAGGACACAGACTGCTCTCTGCAGCCAAAGGCTGAGGCAGCCGCTCAGAGTTGAGGCTGTGTGTTCTGAAAGGTAAACAAGCACAGGCTGCACACACCCACCAGCAGGACCAACCAGCACAGAGAGCATCAGAAGAATTTCAAGTGGCTTCCCTGGATAATCAGGCCACTCCACCTTCAGACTCTCTCCCCTACCCCCAAAGTACTAGGCACTGAATCCAAGGGCGCGCTCCCACCAAGCTACATCCACAGTTCTTTTGCTTTTTATCTTTGAGACAGGGTCTTGCTAAGTCGCAGAGGCTAGCCTTGAACTTGCGATTCTCCTGCCTCGGGCTCCCCCGTTGTGGGGATTACAGGTGTGTCACCATGCCTGCCAACTTCAGACTTTTCACGTCAAGCTAGAGTTGGTCTCCACCCAATACCTGAAGGAGAACCACCAACATCCTCTGGTAGTACCCCGAGGTGTCCCCCACCACGTCGTCTTCCAGGCTTGAGCCGTACTCTGCAACAGAACCATTCCACACTTACTCACAGCTGCTTTCAAATAGAAAGAGATCCTGCCCCATTCGTCAGAGGAAAGAGATACAAAATAAGAAATACTGTATTGATTAACAAATTCTCTCTGTCCCGTCTCTCAGTGCTGGAGACTGAAGACAAATGCTGAGTGGCTGGGAGGCATGACCACAGTCTCCCCAAGCCGTGATGCAGCCTGGGCCCCGACTCAGCCATCCAGAAGGGCTCTGGAGAGCCTCTTAAACACTTTGACCATAAGATTCAACTTCTCCTGCTTCTTCCCAATGTCCCACGTGACGGGTTTCCCATGTCTTTCACCCTCTGAGTGGCCCTTCTCTGGGCATGGCCATATTCTACCCTCCCCCCAATAAAACATGTTTTTCTCTGCAGCTAATAAAGTTAAGTGAGAGACAGCGATGGCATCCTGAGGTATGCCCTCCTGCCTCCAAGGTCAGGGAAAGAGAGAAGCAGGTCTGCCGAGTCCACAAGCACCTTTCACTCTCAAACAGCTGCTCCCAAAAGGAAAGGGCAGGAAGCAGCGAGGACTCAAACGAAGGCAGCTCTGCCACGGACACTCGCGGGCGTTCCCAAGTCCACAAATACCTGCCAGAACTACAACGCACTGAGACAGCAAAAGAAGAAGGAAAGAGGCGTCACTCTAAGGTGTGAAAATATGTAACCATTACTTGAAAGCAGGCAACTTTAAAAGACTAAAACTTCTATTTTAAAAGACCCAAAAAAATCATGTTTACTTCAACCAGTGATCCAAGTAGAATCTTGGCGGGAACCTCTGACTCCTTCCTCTACTGCAGCACCCACAAGTAACCAACCATCAGCCCTATCCGAGATCTCGTGCTCTGAGTGACATCCTGGATTTCCCATAACTGTGTGGCTGTTAAGTCCCAAACCCCAGCTCACCTTGGGACATGCAGCTGGAGTCAAACCCCCTTCCTCATCGGCTGTGGCACTGACTGCTGTGCAGTCCACTCAGAACCACACATGGCTCTGAACCAAGCCGGGATCCACAACCCGCCACACAAACCCCCAACCTGGCCCAACTCGCTGGGGACACAGGCCCCTCCACGATGGCATGCTCTCTCAACTGCACTCCTCTTTCCAGTGTCCACACCTCTGAGGACAGTGGCCCTGCTCGAAAAATGCCTGTTACCTACTCCAAGCCCAGTGCCCGGCTCTACGGAGAGACAGGACAAACAGAAACTGTACTGTAGAGTGTCTGAATATCTAAGGTGTGACGTTCTGGTATGTATAGGGTGGGACGATCGCCACCACACAGCTTTCTCTCTTAGACAACGTCAAGTCCTTGACAGGGCTCCATTGCACAGTCGCCCCCCGGATCTGCAGAACTTCTCATCCTAATGAAATGCAGTGCCCTTGGCCATCGCTGCCCATCACCCTCGCGGCCCTCCCCTCCCAGCCCCGCCAGCCCCACCCAGCTCTGCGTGTTCCACACAAGCGCTCCACCACGCTGTCTTCCTGCGCCTGGCTCCTTCTGCAGGTTCATCTGTGCGCTACAGGGGGCAGGCCTTCCCCGTAGAAGGCTGAAGGAAGTTCCTGTGCACACACACCCTACTTTCTTGAATCATTCCTCAGCAGCTGTCCAGCCTTGAAACTCTGAGCATCTCATTTGTACGATGAAGCCTCCCTAACATCCAAT